TAGTAGCACTTTAAAACAGACTTGAAAACTGGTCAAACAAAAAGGTGAGCAAAAATAAGCTTACTTACGTCTTTTACATAACGATGTTTGGTTTTTCATAGGAATTTTGATGTTTTTATATAAAATGTATTTTACCGCAATGAAAATWAAAAAAATAAATGCTTTGGTAGCATCATCAGATAGAAATTTGGCTGGAGATCATTAACTAACTAAACTCGTGAAATGAAGTCCCTGAACGTCTCATCTGTTAAAAAATTGTTATCTTATTATTTCTCCTCGGGTGCAAAATAGTCGCTACAAATGTAGCCGCTACCAGGTTTCCAGTGCTTCGGATCTCGTTTTTGCAAGACAAAATGAACCCATTTTGCTCTAACCTTTTTATTTGAAGGAAACTGATGAAGGCTTACATTATCTGCGTTTGTCTTGTCACAAAACATGACCACATATCTTTTTCTAGGGACTCTTTTTCGATTTTCCATCTTTCCGCCTCTACCTACATCGACTGTTACACACGTGTGACGTCATCAGATCACTTGATTAGTAAAAACAGGTCGTGATGATACAAGGCAGTTTTCAAGCATGTTAGAGGGTGAGAAAAATGGTTCTAACGGCGAAATTTTTTTCTTTCCTGATAAAAGTATTCAGCTACTTGTGTAGCTTTTGTCAGGATTGTCAAAAATAACCGAAGAAATAGTGACAGTTGCCCTTTAACTAGTACTATTTTGAACAATTTATTAATTAGTGTTTCACGGACATATTGTTTTCACTCATATCAAAGCTCTAACTATTTTCGATAAGTTTCAAAACTTAAGCTTACTAGATTTCGAGATTCTATTTTATCAGTTTTCATCTGTTTTCATGTGTAAGAAAGATACGGAAATCAAGAACGACAAAAGTTTTCGAAAAACAAAGTTTACATTCAGTTAAACTTGACAAGGACAACTGAGACAAAATAGAAAATAACGCACAAAATGCAATTCAAAACACAAAATAACAATTTTCTTTGTCAGTAAATTGGCATTTGTAGTGTTTTTAAGGTCTTTATAAAATAACATATCTCAGTCTCAAGCTCTTTTAAGCTCATTTTTATAATCATACTAGCTCGAAAAGCTCAATAAACAGTTAAAAATTTGGTGTAATTTTATATGTCATTCAATATTTAAATGAATTATCTATAGAAACATCTAAAATTATTGAATGAAAGTCAAAATAAAAGAACTCTTACCATAACAACAAAACAAATACACTTTTTTCGCTCGTTTGTCATTCTAGTTCGTTGCTCGTTTGCCGGTAACTAGCAATGTTATTTAGCTATAAACTTTGTCACACATCTCTTGGATTTGCTTAATTTGTGGAATTCAAAAGATTCCCTCGCTGATATATATACTTAAACAAGAGAATATTAAGTAAGAGAGCACATCCCTGTACCCCATGAAAGTTTTTCGAAAATATATTTTTAGCCCCGCGTGCAAACCTGAGCTATTTTAGCATGCGATTCCTGATTGAAGAGATTGTAGTGACGTCATGGGTACACATGAGATCGGCAGTGACAAAGCAAACTTCATGCAGTTGACAAACCAAACTTTACTCGATTTTACGAGAAAATGTGTTGGAGGAATTCCTTGAGAAATTCTGAAAGGTTTTTGATGGAATCCATAAACAGCACATGTAAAAAATACTCAGATGAGACAACATCATTTAAACTTGTTTAAGCTCAAAAACCGCTGAATAATCTTCACGATTTTATTGAAGAACCATACATGTTTTGAACTTCAAGAGGGCAAAACCCATAAATTTTGCACGGAACTCTATATATTTTTTTTGCTATTTTCCGGAATAACAGGTACTAGCGTATACCAACATGTGTACTTCCTAAAAACGCGCACGCTCATTGGTTAATTGGAGGTGAATATTGTACGATATTAACATCTGAATCTCGGAATATTGAGTCGGCAACAAAATGGCATCTGCCGGCAATCGTTTAGCTACAATTTC